ATCTATCTATCTATCTATCTATCTATCTATCTATCTATCTATCTATCTATCTATCTATCTTATCTATCATATCTATCATACCATCACCATCTACGTCAGAATACGTTATTATGAATTATTGTCAACAAAAAATGAGCATTCGTTCAAGTGTTTAGTCGTTTTTCGTTTCTTGTGATCCTGAGCGTGATGCTTTCTAAAATTAAAAATTTCATAATTGACTCTCCTTGTATGCAATTTTCAGTATTATGTGTGTAAATGTAATATTTTGTTTATTATGTATTGTCCGTCCATCCGTCGATCTGTCTGTCTGTGAAAAACACTAGCACCTAAAACGCACGCAGGATTTTTAGCATAACTAATATTTACCTGTTAATCTGTGAAAAATCGCGGCTTCTCGAATTTGAAACATCTTTTAACTGTCGAGGCTCGTTTACCTGAAGCTCCTAAGCATTTTTGAAATTTTCCGAAAAATGGCTCATATATTCTCTGATATTTTTTCTCTGAATCCAGTGTGCTTATAACAATGACGCAGGTCAAATTTTTATTAAAACCTCTGAATTTTAAACAAGTTGCAAGAGATTTTCATTTGTAGGCGTATCCTCTTTCGGCTACATTTTGGGAAATATAGATTTTGTAGTATTTAAAATATTTTCTTTGAATGGTCTTTCGATTAGGCTATGCCTTATTTAACAAGAAAAGCTCGTAATACGAAAATACTCAATTTATATTCGAATTTATTTGCTAATTTAAGTGCAATTTTATATTTCTAAGTTTGTTTTACACATTTAATTTTTATTTCCATTACCCGTATGTTTTGAGCTCCGTCTTATTTCACCTCAAGTTATTTACGTAAATGATACAAGCATTTAAGTATTAAAATGGGTCTTCCAAAACAATGTTTAGGTAACGTTGTCACAAATAAACACAATTACACTAATAAGCTTTATTTGAGCTGTAGACAATAAGCGTGGCACTCTTGTCGGTTCGCTGACGTAAGCCATTGTTGCGCGGGATCGACAAAGCACTCTTGAAACCTACAAAGACAGCCTCTACAGTAAACAAGGCTCACGTGGGCATCCTATTCAGATTTAACTTTTTTCAAAAGTTCTGTTCAAAATGGCGAAAGTAAGGTGCTCCAACAATATGAAGCTCCCAAGTTTTGTTCGTGATTTTGGAGAGAGTTCTTGAACACTGACTGGGATATATTATTTGGTAAACAATGTGAAGTTAAAATTAATGCAGAAAACGATGTATTGTGAAAGAACACTGTAATATTGCTAAACGTAGCAGCTGAATGAAGAGAAGCGTTGGAAATGACAGAACACAAAGACTGTTATTTGAGCAGACAAATCCATCTTCAATCCTGCAATCGTTTCTCAAGGTCTGGTTTAAGATGATGTCTTGCAAACAACTCCATTGAAGATGCTACAGAAGCAAGATTTTGGAGAAGTACAGAGCACATCCAGTTCCCGATAACCCAAAATGAGAAAACCCTATTTATCCCCGTTCTATGACGGGGGTTCAACAAAATACGAATGAGTGTAGTTTTAACTGAACAAAAAATTTGGGTATCCCATGAAACTACCTCTGTGAATGGTTCTTATGTTGCAAATGATGTTCGTGTGCTGAAAATTGACGGGAGAGTTTTCCTCCTAATGTGAGAAGGTTTTTGCAAGATTAATCAACTACACAGTTGCTCTTTTGTCCAACAATTCTACCAAGATTATGGTGTTAACACAGATGTTTTGCTGCTAGTATCACATGGTGTTCCAGGCATTACTGAAGCAGACAAGGGGTGTCAGATTCTCTACCTTCTTAGGGCATACGACACGTCTCTCGCGCGTGCCTTCAACAGAGTTTGCAGAAGAGGTGGGAACAAATTCCCTGATGTGGACAAATTAATTTCCTTCAGGTAGTAAATCTGTGTAAAACCTCCACTACTGGTGCAGAAAGGCAAGGAACAAGCCCTTTCATTGTGCTTCATCCCTCAGCTAGTTCTGACACGATGGGGGTTTTGGCTAAATATTGTTGAGTTCAGCGCAAATTTTGCAGTGAAAAAAATCGTGGACCATCACCTCACTGGAAGAGGCTTGAACTCAATTATGTGACGCCTTGAATGTTGTGTGACATGTGTAGAGTGAGTTGAATGGAACTCGTGGTCTTGTGACTGTAAATGAACAACAAATTTCAAAGTGTTCCATTTAGGAAACCTGGATATTCTATAACATAAAAAATTAGTGATATTTCTGGGAATGTCGAAACATTAGAAGACAATGAACCAAAGTTGATATGCAATGACCTTGTAGTTTTCAAATACGCTCCTGTGATGTCATGTGAAGAGAAGCTTTTCCCGGTACAAAACTATTTTCAGCGACAATCGTAATTCTTTGCTTCCAAATGTAGGAATACACAACCAACACATTTCTTTCCAACGTTTTCCGCATACCTAACTAATGGGATGCTTTAACCCTTGAGTGGTCGCGTGGTTGACATATGTCACCCACTTCCTTTATTTTTCTCAGACCTCCCTCCCTCCCCCAAACTACACCTCGAGCAGGCCAGTATCTGTCCGTGCCTGTCTGAGCTTGAACGCCAGTCTGTCAGAGCTCACTCAGTACGATTCTTTACCTTGAACTGGTAACATCTCTTGGCTGGTTGACTACTGTCCCCCATGCGACCATTCTTGTAACTTTTTAAGGTAAGTGTTTATTTACATGAATATTTTTTTCTCTAATGTTATTGTGCTTTTTAATTAAGTTTTTCTTTTCTAAACTTTTTTTGACTCGCCCTGGACACATTTTGTTTATTTTTTTTCGAGCTCTCTGATTTTATTATTTTTATTGATATCAAATTTTTAATTTTTATCTCAATTTTCAATTATAATGATTTTATAACTACACTTTTTTTCTATAGATAGAAATGTCACAACAAAAAAGAATGAGAAGTGAAACTTCATCAGATCCCAAAGTTTGGAAGCGGTGGCTTGATGAGTTATTGGATGAAGAGGAAGAAAGCACTTCCTAAGAATCTGATTCAGATGAGATTGATCACCTATCTGAAAGTGAACATAATACTGATTCAGAGCAGTCAGCAGACGAAGACAGCGAGTCTGAGGGTGAGCCACAAAATTCATT